CTCTCGCTACACAATAACCTCAGACATTTGTACGGATACTTTTGCATTGTGGGATATTTCTAACATAAACATTTTTGACAAGGACGTTTTTTTTTGTAAAAATTATTGAACAAAAAAATTATTAAACTTACTAACTAGTTATTATAAGATTTCTGAGCCTTTTAATTATTAATCGATTAAAAATTGATCTCAATACAAAGTCACAAAAAACATAACATATCTAGAGATGTGATATAAAACTATGGTTTTTCATTTTCGAAGAAGAAAAAGATTTACAAATGTGACATCTATATAATATGGTCCTGTTTGAAAATGTTTTCATCTTCCACTTTTCAAACATACTTATTATACTCTTTTTTTATTTTATTAAAATATGTCATTTATATATAACTTTATCTAATGAATCTTGTAATCAGCACTTTTACATGTCTATCATCATATTAACTCTTTCGACTAATTGAATTTTCAGAAAAAATAGACATGTTCGTTTATACATATATATATATATAAGAAATATAGATATTGAAATAAATAGATAATGGACAGATATCTGCTAATTTATTTAATCAATAATTATTAAGTGGATTAAATATTTTTTTTCTCGAATAATCAAAATAATCTTCTTTTAATGATTCACACATATATACATTCTTATTCTTTCTTCTTTCTTATAAATGAAGATTCAATGTTATTCTATATGAACGTGTTTTTTTTTCGTTGTCATATAGCACGTTGTTTATTTATTTAATTCTATATATAAAACAAATAACACTATTAATACATCATATAAAAATAAACTAATGAAGTAAGTTATTTAAAAATCTAATTTACTTTGTAATTTCTTCTTGTTTTTTTCCTCATTTAGATCAGTTTTTGAACATTTATCAAATGAAATTATTTTTGAAATGTTTAATTATCTCGATCTTTATCATGTTTATTATGGGTTTTTTCTCTTAATAAATGGTTTAAATATTTACTTGTCGATTCAAATATTCCAATAAAAACCAATACGCCAGCAAAATCAAAATCAAAATTCAAACATTATTATAAAAATATTATTAATCCAAATAAAAATCGAATAAATATTCTTCGTTTATCAAATCAATTTACTGTTGATATTGTTTTTTCATCACCATATATAATTTCAAAATTTATTCAACTTGAAAAACTAATTCTTGAAAGTATTAATATGAATAATTTATATGAAATTCTCAAGAATTAATGTTTTTAATTAATTTACATTCATTAACTCATAATACAGCTGAATATGTAGATAGTGCGATTGATATTTTTTCAAAATTATTTCTTCTATCAAAAATAAAATATTGTTATGTAAAGTATCAAATCAAAAGTGATTATAATCCATTATCTAATTATTTAAATATTAGTCCAATTGAACATCTAATCATTAATGCACGATTTCCATATAAAGAATTATACAAATTAATGTATTGTATACCAAAAATTCGTTATCTATCAATTAATTATATTATTCGTTCTTCTCCAGATAAGGGTGCGGTGTGGTAGGTGTGGGTGTGGAGTATCGGTGTGGGTGTGAATGTTCGTCTCTTCCTATTCCACACTCACTCTTCACACCTACACTCACATCCATACACCCACACCCAACCATTGTTGCGGATTTTTGAACCAATCGCTCTCTCTTTATGAGCATCGCCGGGAAATAAGAAAAACAGCATCTGATGTAGAATTAAACTCAGCATCGAATGATGTAGAATTTGACTTCCGGCGATACTCACGAAGATAGAAACTTGCCGTTGGAATATCAAAATTTCCTCGTGATCAACTATTGTTCCGAATTTTTCAACCAATCGCTCTCTCTGCATGAGTATCGACGGGAAATGAAAAGAATATCATTCGATGCAGAATTAAATTCTGCATCGAATGATGTGTAGCTTAACTTCCGGCGATACTTATGAAGAGAGAAAGTAGCTGTTGAAATACTCGAATTTCACATTTTTGAACCATTGTTCCAATTGTTTCATCCAATCGTTTCCTGTTCATGAGTATCACCGGGAAATAAAAAGAATATCTTTTGATGCAGAATTAAATTGTACATCGAATTGTGTCCACCTTCATTTTGATCTATGCTAAAATGCTTTTTGTCGGTGCAAAGGGTCGAGACGGAATATTGAGGAAGGAAAGGTTGGTATGTAATGTTGGCTCAGTACGGATCTGTTTAGGTGAGGGTTGTTTAGTTTTAGTTTGGGGGTGAATTAACCCAAGTTTTTTTGCCGGTCGTTAAGGGCACCATGTGCATATATATGTCCTCTAGGTTGGTGTTTTTTTGCTTAGTTTCTGATTGGCCAATTTTGGTGTAATGGTATATTTTTCGTCGGACTAGCTCGTCGTGTTGCGGTAGCTTCTCATCAATCAAATTCGCGATAGATGTTGTAGCGAGTGGATCATAATTTTTTTTTGATTTGTTTTGATGGGATTATTAATTTTTAAGGTGCTATAGGAAAATTTGTTCGGTTGCTAAGGAAAGTTTTGGTGGTATTTTATGAAATATGAGTGGCAAAACATGCTCGAGCGCTGATTGACCGGCTGGAAGATCCATTTTGATTTATGTTCGTGCTAGCTTCACATCGATGGTGTGGGTGTGGGTGTGAGTTAAGGAAAGATCTATATCTACACCCATCCCCACACCCACATTCTCACACCCACATCCACGTTCCAAAATTCAAAATAGATCAAACGATCTGAATGAGATCTTTGAGCAACTTCGAAACTAGTCATGAAAACTTAGACTCACTTTCACCTTCACCCTCAAGAACTTATATCCGTATCAAATACAAAATCGAATAGTCGGGAGTGGGGAACTGTAGGAGTGCTGACGACGGGCTCTGAGTTCCCACCCCCCTTTGTGTCATTATAGAAACTGTCAGAAAATATTGAAAGTCCTGATGTTGATACAAAGGGACTGTCTACGATGATACTGTACAGTTCTTTTCGTGAACACCGAGTTCTCAAAACGGAATTTAATAAGGAACGATAGATGATACAAAGCTACGATTCAGACGAGGGTAAAACGAGTCGTAGCGATGAGCGGTACTTGCTGTTTAGACTTCATATATGAGAGTGTATGTGGTAGCTGAGCAAAAAGTTCATAATAGTATAATATATAATTGTGAGTATTTGGAAACGTTTTCTTTTTAAAATGAGTCTACCAGTTTCTACTGATGACAAATAAAGGATGCGTTCCAGGTATTTTCTGAGACTAAGAGCCTGACACGGAAATTTGACTGTCATTGCACTCACTTCACAAAGTAGCAAAATTGCTTATCTAATTCAACAGAAACTGTCCGCTCTTCATCGCTCGATGCGAAGATTTTGTTTCAGAAAAGCGTGAGCGAATCAGTTGATGAGCGTTACTTGTTTTTATTTCTAATTTATTTGCTTGATCATATCCTTAGTTCTCGTGATCGATGAATAGCCATCGTCAAACCTGTCTAAAATTTGCGATGATTCAATGTGTATCTACAGTCGTTTCATTCAAAAAGTCGAACGCGGTGAGTGCGAAGATTTCGCCAAGAGCCCGAAGCTCCTCGATATAGACGTGTTCGTCGGCTGCGCCCATGTTATACGAGGTTAAGCCACATACAACCGATGGTATCCCATGCTTACGATATAACCGAGCATCCGATGCTCCAACCCGCATGCTGACAACCGGCTCGGTGCCCAGACGGTGCTTGCAATTTTTTTTGAGCAATCTGATCACCTCGTGGTCGGGATCAGTCCAGTTGGGATCGTATCGTCGCGTTATTTCAAGTTTTACGCCTGGGTGGTTTGAGACGATGTCCACAATTTGGCTTTCGACAAGGGCGACCGACACTCCCACTGGCAAGCGAATATCAGCGGTTGCGGTAGCGTGGTCCGCAATTAGGTTCGCTAAGTGGCCTCCACTTATGGTCCCAAACGTGATCGTTACGCTTCGAAGAACATCACTTTCACCTTTTCCGTTTAACAATTCGGATCTTGCAGTAGAGGTGCTAATGGCATCGAGAACTTTGGGTGGGGAAAGCACAGGAAGATTGCGCAAGACTTTAAGTTCTTGCATAACATCCATCAACGTCTCGATAGCACTCTCTCCTCTGTGTACATGAGCAGCATGTGCCGACTTGCCGGTCGCCTCAAGGTTCAGCCAGATCATGCCTTTTTCGCCAAATCGCAATACTTGTGGTGAGCCTGTATCTGCACTGATCATGGCGTCGCCAGCTGCGTGAGGAACAGCTGTCAATAGATATTGACTGCCGTTGATACCCATGCTTTCTTCATCTCCAACAAATGTAGCGACAACTTCCCCAGAGAAGGATTCTCGAATTGCGGCGAGATGCTGGAGAGCAAAGATAATGGCGGCGATGCCGCCCTTCATGTCCGACACTCCAAGCCCGTACAACTTTCCCTCTCTCTCTTCACCATTAAAATCTGCGGACCATTGTTCGACGTTGATGAGTGGGAACGTGTCCATATGTCCATTAAACACCAGCCGACGTCCTTGTCGTCCACCACGAATTCGGACAACCAGATTCATGACGTGAGGTAAAGTTCCGTAACGCTCGACTTCCACGTCGATACCTTCGAACATAGACTCGATGACGCTGGCAACCCCATGTGTATCGCCAGGCGGATACATGCTTGGCACTGCTACCAGCGCGCGCGCGATATCGACTACTTCATAACTTGATTGAGCAACAGTGTTAGCTAGATCTTTACGCAATACAGCAGTATCCGTACGAATAACACTAAGGGTACTCATTTGTATCTCGTAGACTCTTAGTGATGTACGATTCTTTGTCTAAAAAGTGATAAGAACGACTCCATGAGTGAACAGCCCATGTAAAGCACGGTCAAACTCACTCTCACACTAACTACTATACACTTACTTCCAGCGAAGAACGAGAAACAGAAAAATGAGGTACTGCAAGCACACGATAGCATACAAAAAAGATAAAAATAACTAGCGCCGAGTTTTTATCTTTCTGTTCTTCATCTGACAATGTTGCACGTCGTCAGCTACTAACAAGGGAGCCGCCCAAAGTAATTAAATGCTTTTGAGCTCATATTGTGTCCACAATGAAGTGTCAGGTTGTGGGTATGAGTATGGGTATGGGTATGGGTATGGGTATGGGTGTGAGCTGTGGGCTGTGGGCTGTGGAGTGTGGGTGTGGGTGTGGGTGGATGTGGGTATGTGGGTGTGAGTGTACGTGTTGGTGTGGGTGTGTGGATGTGTGGCTGTAGGTGTTGGTGTGGGTGGATACGGGGTGTTCATCTTGAACACTCACACCTACCCACACCAGCACTCACACCCACCCACACCCACATCCACACCCACACCCTTGAAGTCACACCCACACCCCAAAAATCAATACTTAGCAGTCCCTGCCATTTTGCTTCCAAAATAAGGAATTGCAATTAAAGTACATCTCGAATACATCTAGCGACAGAATTGCTAAGAAGTGGATATGTGCAGTTTGTGGTGCAGACATATTTGCATCGATCGTTGGAAAGTTTTGAGTCGTTAAAAATACTTCAAACAATTTCCAGTACCTTTTCTAGTTATGTAAAATAGAAAGAGAACGTTATTGACCTTTATCGAGACTGTCGTATAATATTTAATGACAATTTCTGCAGCCGGTCTTTTTTTTCTTTCTGTCTTTATTTTGCACTTAATGCATCATCTACATGTATAATGTCTTGATTGTTTATCACTTTAATCTATAAATATTTTACATTCGTTCTTTGATTAATTTTGAAGATAATTTTTTTGTTAAATTACATAATAAATATAGAAAATCATTATATTAAAGAGAGAATACAGATAAATAGAGATGTTTTTTACAGTTTTACATGACACATAGAAATATTTAATCTGACTAAAGTTACTCAACCTTTTTATCTATATGGAATTATAGAACAACAAAAAACAGAGAGGTAGTTGCTCTTATCAGAAAAATGTCTTATTAACGTTTTTTATCTTTACTATTACGACAGTTTCTTCGTCAGTTGCGCTAATATCCTCGTTTTTATTCTTCGTCACGTTTCATAAATACCTACAAGATGTCTGCTGCTAAAATTAATATTTTTTTAACCGGTGCTACTGGTTATATAGGAGGAAGTGTTTTAACTGCACTTCTTCAACATCCAAATGCTTCTAATTTCAATATTACTGCTCTTATTCGTGGTAGTGATGAACGAATTAAAAAATTAGCATCTCTCAATGTCACACCTCTTGTTGGTTCGATAGACTCGTTTGAAATCATCGAAAAAGTTGCAAGTGAATCTGATGTTGTCATTCACAATGCAGAATCAACTTGGCATTTACCATCAGCCCAAGCCATTGTTTCTGGTTTGAACAAACGAACCAAGTCAGTAGAAAGACCAGCAATTTATATTCATACAAGCGGCACAAGTCTTGTTGCTGAAGATGTTCGTGGGGGAAAAGGATCAGATAAAGTCTACAGTGATCTTGATCCTGCTCAAATCTATGGTCTTCCTGATGATCAAGATATACATGATGTTGATCTCTTTATTGTTAATTCAGCTGATAGCAATCCTTTATTGAAAACTGCTATCATTCTTCCTCCTACTATTTATGGTATTGGTACAGGTTTATTTAATCGTACTTCTATTCAACTTCCTTGTCTTATTGAACTTGCTTTGAAACGACATAAGGCCGGAATGATCGGACCAGGCGAAGCAACATGGAATAATGTTCATATTGCTGATTTATGTAATGCTTATATGATCATTTTCGATCATTTTCTTGCTGCTTATGGTCCAGATGCTAAACCTGATGCACAACTTAGTCCATATTTGACTACAGGACGAGAAGGTTATTATTTTATTGAAAATGGGATGCACACATGGCGACAACTATCAGAAAAAATTGGTGAAGTTTTATACAAGAAAGGTATTGTTAAGTCACCCGAAGTGACAAGTTTCTCCGATGACGAAGTGGAAAACAGTCCTTTCGAAATATATGGTTGGTTTTATATGGGTAGTCAATCAAATTCAACAGCTGAAAGAGTAAGAAAACTAGGATGGAAACCACATCGATCCAGTATTTTTGATAGTGTTGAAGAACAGATTGATGCTTTAATCACCAACACAACAGACTAAGGTTCTTATGATTTCGATTTTTCTATTTTAATTTCAATGTAAACACGAGCAACATTTATCTTAATGAATAAAAACCAAGAAACAGAAAATATTCTTGGCATCCAATCAAATCTTGAAAAGCTTTTAATTTTCTTTCCTACGCATGTTTGATCAGTCTATTGCAACGGAAAATCATTTGATACACGTCAGACTGATGCATCAGTTATCATTTAGAAAGAATTTCCTGTAATCAATACATGTTAGATTCCATCCAAGTTAAAGCTATTTTCGCTAATCTTGGCTTTTCATTCCTATAAAAATTCATATTACAAATATCGAATTAGAAGCTATCAGTATCTCTTTGATAAACAAATTTCATTGAGGCACTCATATTTACGATTTGATAGTTAAAATCAACAATATATTGCTCCTAATCAAATTGCTTCGACCGAGGTGATGTCCCACATGTGTCGATTAGAAAAAATGTATGCATCCAAAGGATGCTTGTATATGTGGACATAGAAAGAAATTCTGCATTGGATGGATCTATTTTCAACAACTACAATATTCATTTGAGTAGCACTTGACGAAGTGTGATTAATATCTGACAGAAACGGACGTTGAAATATTTTGTGTAACATGAATAGTACAGACTGGAGAGATAGAAAAACTTGATGTATGTATACTACTTATCTAGAAATGCACATACGCTATTAGAAATAAGTAGATTTCTAAACACTATCAGTCTGCGATGCCAGTTACATACATAAAAATGATAAACTAAACGCTCATACGTATTCTTCGATCTGGTACTCATTACTTAGAGCTTGCCACTAATAGTAACGCTTAAAGAGCATCTATAAAAGGATTACTAAATTTCGTTATAGGATGTGCTGTTTGCTTTAGAAGGACTATATCGTGAAGTGAGGGTGCGGTCCGCGAAATCTTTTAGCGTCCCATTACTACTTCATCTTCCAATATTCTAAAATTTCCAGTGGCAGTGTGCTGGAGCTCTGTGGTTTACGGATCCTTACCAGATGAACGATCCAGAAAACATTACTAAGTCGTCCGTAAATTGTTTCTGGAGTCATAGACGTGAAAGTTGTATGACTATGAAATAAGAAATTGACATGTATAGAAATGAAAAAGTAAAAACTAATTGGTGCTTAACATACGCGATTTATAAATGTATTTTTTGCTTTTGTCCGTCTTAGATGTGCACCCGTTGGGAAGAATGTGATGCGACCATTTCAGATTATACGGCGTCGAGATTGATAGAAATTTGCTTTTTTTCTGGTTGCTGCTCGTTGTAATAAAAATTTAACTTACAATGTTTTTCCGTTGTTCTTTACTACACCGTACTAAGCTCTATGACGGGTTAGGCTTATTGATCAGGGAGAGGCGAGAGCTGGAGATCCAGCTAACTCTAAGATTTGAAAAAAATGGTCGACTTTCTACTAATATTTTTGAAAACTTCCTGAGAGTTTTCTTAAAGTTTCTTGGTCAACTCTGTTAAAAACCTCGTTTTTAACTTTTCTTCGCCATTTTTCTGACAAAAAGACAAATAAAAACACTTTCTGCCGATAAAAACTCTCAGAAATTCTGTGATTTCAGTATTTTCTGTTTGGTATATGCCAGAAAGCCATATTAAGGCATGTATTGGCAAAATATCTAGATTTTCTGCCAAATGTTTAATCTCTCTCCACTCTTACAAACAATTGGAGCCCTGTTACATGCTGAAGAGACTTAATTAATAACTAAGGAATTTCAAAACTGGTCTCTTCATAAGAAAGATTTGATAATATACAATATTAATTTTCATTCTGTCATTGACTTTTGATGGTTTTAGAAATCTGATATTAGATGCATGCATCTGTTTCAGCGATTTTTAGTTGATTCCTTGCTTACGTTGAATTTCATATGTCTACATTTTGGTGACTTTCACATGACTTTCATGACTTTCTTGACTTAAATGATCTTGATGATTCCCATGATTGAAAAGTGATTTGAATGAATTAAGTCAGCCGTTTTCCTCCTTGGTGGCAACAGATAGAGAATAAATAACTAAGTATTAAAGGAAGAAACGTCAGTCGAATCGATGTTTAATATTGAACATGAGTCTATTCACTTGATTGATTTACCTGATGAAAGTCTGCTTATTATTATGAAAAACTTTGTTCTATAGATATCTTTTATTTATTACTAGAAGTAAACAACCGACTCGATAAAATGACACGAAGTCTCACTCACACTAAATCTTTAGACTTCTCGAGTATATTATCGAATAATACATTTTGAGTAGTTAATTGTCCTATAAGTGTAACTTACTGTTAATCAATGGTGAATGAAACACGTTTGTATATCTAACAGTGAGAGAAAGAATTTTTTTTTCTTTCTACAATCATCGCCATTATTTCAGTTAATAAGTTTCGTATCTATTCTGTACAATAAATGAAAGTAATCAGCTATTTTAATGGAATCAGTAGGGAAGATGCGAACAAACTCATTTTCATGACTTTGAATTGTATTTAACGGCAACGTACGTTTTTTCATCTTAGTAACAAGTGACTTTCATAGTTATTAAAAAATCAAAATTTCATGTATTAAAGCACTTTGAAAAAGTTTATTGTGAATATACATTTCAATGTATTTACTCTAGTCCACTTATGAAGAAGAAAAATTTGGCTTCTAGAATTTTACATTCGAACATAATATGCTTGGATACTTCTTCAAATACTTATGCTTAGTAAGTTTACAATAAAAGAAACAGAAATTAAGATATTTTTCAAAAACTTTCAAGTTTGTACGGTCATCATGCAATTTAAATATCTGAATTTCGATTGAAAAATCTGCTTTTCAATCATGTGATTTGAAACACCTAAAACTCCCGTTTTTGTTCGTCAACCGAACTAAAGAAAAATTGATGGAGATCTGGTTTCATTTTTGAATCTACTAAGTTGCTATGCTTTATCAGACTATTTTAATGATCTTCATCCCTCGCCTTCAAGATTACTGTCTATTGCATGCTCGACAGAAACAGTATTATACGATTAGTTTGTCTTGTACACAGTTAGATGAGTGCTGCTCTTTTTTAGGACTTTTCCGCTACATATTGAACATTTCGGGCTACCTGAAGAATCAAAATCACATATTAAGATATCAAAGTCGTGTTTGACATTTCAAGCGAGATTATTGATGTGAAGTTAGTGACAAAGAAAATAAAAAAAAATGATGTTCTTATATTTATAAAGAAAACACTGTGTAGATCACAGAAAATGTTAAATAATTTTTGTTGACTTTTATTCGTGAACATATACTATAGAGTCTCTCGGTCATTTCTAGATGTTCATCATCAGTCAATATAATCACAGGTGTTTCAAACAATCGATCAATATGATAATATGAAGACAACAGAGAAAAGTACTGATATGTGGAAAAAATGCTACTAACATTTCATTAACAAATCTTCAGGAAAAATATAATTCTGTTGGAAAAATAAAATTTCTGCTAGGCTCTATAACGTAAACATATGAAGCTATAGAACTGTAACGAAAAGTAATAGTAAGTAGCACTTTCTCTTGATATATGTGTAAAGCGTTTCTGGAATGAGCAATTCTATTTTATGATAAGATGATTATATATTTTTCTATAGGAATTTTTCTCGTTTTAATAACAATTATCGAAAATAAAACTCCAACTCAATCTCATTTTAGCACAGCGTAGTACAGTGTATTTAACATGAAAATACATCCAAGAATATTAATAACCGTTAGACGAAAGCGTGCCAAAATATATACATGTGTACTAGTCATCATATTCATTTTGTTACTCAGTTATATTCTATACTATGCATTATGCCGTCGTTCACCTAAGAAGTTTATGAATGAAATGGATCTATTTCGATATGCGAATGTTACTTGGCCTCGACGACGTATACCTCGTGTGATTCATCAAACATATCGCACGTATGTTATACCTACTATTTGGAATACAACGGTACAATCAGTGATGAAGATGAATGCCAATGAGTTTAAATACCGTCGATGGTCTCATGTAGACATGGATACGTTTGTTCGACAGCATGAGCCTCACTTCTATTGGAACACTTTTGTCACTTATCAATATGATATACAACGTATCGATACGTTTCGATACGTACTGTTGTTTCACTTAGGCGGTATTTATATTGATATGGATGATGCTTGCCATCGTCCTTTTCGCGAATTAGTAGCCACTATAGAAGCACTCGATCCAGACTCGACTCACCTTGCTCTTTTTCCAGCAGCAGAAGTATTCGGCATTCAAAATAACTTCATGATTAGTACTGCTGGTCATCCAATATACAAGCAGTTTATTTCACGATTGCATCTGTTCAATCATAATTTTCTCATTTATCATGTCACTATATTACTTAGTGTTGGTCCACTCTATGCTACAATTCAAGAATACTTTTTTAAACAGACAGACAAACAAGTTGTACGTACATTTGATAATAGAATTTATCGCTCCATGTTTTGGAAGACAAAAGGAGGTACATGGTTTCATCGCGATGCTCTAATGATACTCTATCTTTATTACAATAGACATCGTGTTTTATGGTATTGCATAATATTTACTATGTGGCTTGCTACTCTTCTTATTGTGATCATATTGTTTAGACACAAGCGAAAACACTTTCTCACGGCACTGACTATAATACAGTCAAAAATTATTACTCTTCATTGAAAAATTCTCAATAATGATTGATTCAATTAATAAACAGAGAAACTTAGTCTGAATGTGTTTCCTCCATTTTCAATGCAACTAAATAATTAGAAAATTATCGAAAATTTCGTTAGAACAGTCGCTGATGTCACTTAACTGTGAAACTTATCATTAAAATACACATGATCAAGGAATATTTATGGCATTCTATAAATCAAGAACTGTCTTAATTGAACGTTTTCTGTAGGTCCAAGACTCATCTCATTATCATCGAATGAATGATTATTAGATTTTGAATTCGACCAATCTGTAGAACTACATGGTTGGTGAACTCTTCCCTCTTGTCGCTCGTATAGATCTCGTTGATAGTTACAGTATGATTGAGTCATAATTGAATGAGTTGCATTGCATATAAACTGTGCTGTAGACTGTGTATTAGATGATGATTGATTACTGATGAACCAATTCCCGTAGGGTACGCAAATGGCGAGATCCCTTCCGGTGCATGTATACAGCTTGAAGTTACCCTGATAAGTACGAGTAACAACTGAAGTCGCTTCTCATCGTAGACCTATGGACGAGTCATAGTTCGCGTCCGAAAACGAAGGAGGATCAACTAACAAAGCTAAGTACGGCGACAACTGAGTAGAAAATGGAACCAATGTACAAACATGTGTATTAGCCGCACTACCAGCTAGCTGATGAGTAGTAGACTCTTCAATGATGATGCCATCATTCATTGCTTAAAGTAAAATAGAACTTCTTGATCGGATTGATGCTGTCCAAAAGTTCATCATTTTTCAGAAAAACATAGGACGATAATACCACTTATGGCTTTACATATTTCATGTTATTTGAAGGAAAGAAGAATGTTCAGGAGCCATCCAGGATCTCATGTTTTCCCAAACCGAGAATACTTCTGTTCTTATCTTGGGAATGTATTCTTAGAAATAGAACATTTTCGTTCTGAAAAATGGGAATTTCATTCTCATAAACGCAACACTTTTATTCTGAAAATGAGAGTAGTTCCGATGATATTCAAAATGGAGAGATTTTACTGTATTTATTTTACATAATCAATCAAAACAAAGAAATCATATATCAGAACGAAAAAAGAAGAATTTATGGTCACTATATTTCCTCGTTATTATGTTGAGCAGAATAAAAACAAAGTTAAATAATTACATAAAATGAAGAATTCAATACATTTTATTATGACGATAATTATTTGATTCTAAATGATTCAATTGTATTCTAACATAGATTTTTATCACATATATTAATGAAATAAAATTTTGGTTTTTTTTTTGTTTATCTTATTTATATAAAAGAAAACAATAACAGTAAAGCTGATCCTATGTACAGCAGAATATGGTTAACCTGTACATCAAGATACAGACATGCAATGATCAATGAAAAAAAAACACGAACAATTTTTATTTGCGTACAACAGTCAATCGAAGAACATTTGTCGGTAGAGCAGGGCGAACAAATGATGAACGTGTTTGAGATGTTGGTGTACTCGATGTTTGTGATGATGTTGTTACTAAACATCCACTTAAATCACTTGTACCATCATCATACATTGATGAATCATCAACTAATCCTGTTGTTGTAGTAGTTGTTTGTGAAAGCGGTAGAGCGGTACCAGCTGTTGTTATTATAAATTGTTGTGGCTGTTGTGAAGATGAAGTAGATGGTGTGGTTGTAAGGCGAAATGTTGTTTGTTGTTGTTGTTGCTGTTGTTGTGGACTTGTTGTTGTAGCTATTCGTCGTATCTAAATAAAAGATTTTCGAATTTTTGTTTTGTATATTAACCTATGACACAAAATAGTTGGTCACTTTTCGGCTGCTTAAAGACAATTCTATCAGTAAATTTTGTGAAAAAATTCAAAATTACGTCTGTACAAAGCAAAATAACAGCTTTGGTACCGTCCTTAGTTTGGATTTTGGAATAGCTTCTACTCAACATTATTGTTGAGTATTAAATTCTGTATAAAATGAAATACTACAATAAGCGAAATCTCATTTATGTATTTCCACTAAAGAGCTAGTTTAGATGAGACTTTGTCAAAAAATCGCTCTTTTAAAAATATAAAAGTTTAAAAATTTTTTATGTAAAAGTAAATAACACAGTTTTTAGAGAAAACTTTGTTCTATAATAAAATTCTAAACACATATTCGGAAAGATCGAAAAAGTCTAATCGATCATCTATGTTCGTGAGTTTCGTTAAGGTGATTATTCCTTACATATACTCTTTCTGAATATTCATCATATATATATATTGCAGATATTATCTCAGAATATCGCCAATAACTTCGATCATCGAAAAATACGTAACTATTTTATGTCAGGATTTTATCACTATAGACTTTTTTTTATCACTTAAACTTACAGTCATTGTTCTTGGTTGTTGTGCAGCAGCAGCCGCAAGTAATGTTGCTTTGATATCAGCTGTTGTTACATGATGTGGTGTTGTTGTTGTTGTTGCAATAATACATGGTTGATGATGATGATGATGATGTTGTGGACCATCATATGTTGTTGTTTTAAGTCTTTTAATTGGTGATAATGTTAAAATTTGTTGTTCATTATTACGTTTAGCTTGTAAATGTGGATGATGTACAGATGATATAATAACTTTCGCTCGAACATGTTCAACAATTTTTTCAGGTACTAATGCTTTAATTGGTTCATGAGCTGTTATTGATGTAACAGCTGTTATAGCCCATTTTTCATAAATACCTTGTTTTAATGTATATATACCACCAAGACGAGAATACGATTTTCTTATTTGTTGAACAAAATACATTTGCAACCAATAAAAAGCCATAGCACCACTATCAAAACGTGATTCACGCCAATCACGTAATTGTGCTGCCTAAATTTAATAAAAAATAAAAAAAAAGAACTTCATATTTCGTTTTCAAAAATTCATTTAACATACCACAGCTTGCATTGGTTCACAAACAAGTCCTTTAATACCTGAATAAGCATCGAATAGATCATATTTTTTTAATATCCATGAACCAAGATCAGTATCAACTAATGGTAAAATAATTTGTTCAAAATATGTACGAAATTCTTGTGTCCAATTTGATTTACAACGATCATATAAACGTGTAAATGTTAACATATCAGCACATAATAATAATGATTTAAGTTCAGCATTATAAAATTGATAATCAGCTTGTGTTCGACCATTTTGTAACAACCAAGCACGTAATTGTGAAAAAA